ATTTGCAGGACAGCTGCCTGGTCAACAGACTGGAAGAGATCCATATTTGTGCCCATTCCAAAGAAAGGTGATCCAACAGAATGTGGAAATTATTGAACAACAAACATCATTAGTATCACACACAAGTAAAATTTTGCTGAAAATTATTCAAAAGCGGTTACAGTAGTACAAGGGCATACTGTGTGGTTTAAAGTCAGGAAAGGTGTGTCTCAGGGTTGTATCCTTTCACCATACTTATTCAATCTGTATGCTGAGCACATAATCTGAGAAGCTGGCATGTATAAAGAACTCGGCATCAGGACTGGAGAAAGACTCATTAACAGCCTGCAATATGCAGATGACACAGCCTTGCTTGCTGAGAGCCGAGAGGACTTGAAGCACTTACTAGTGAAGACAACAGCCTCCAGTCTGGATTACACCTCAAAATAAAACAAAAATCCTCACAAGTGGACCACTAAGCAGCATCATGTTAAATGGAGAAAATATTGAAGTTGTCAAGGATTTCGTTGTACTTAGATGTACAATCAACACCCATGGAAATAGCAGTAAAGAAATCAAACAATGTATTGCATTGGGCAAATCTGCTATAAAAGATGTCTTTAAAGTGTTAACAAGCAAGGATGTCACTTTGAGGACCAAGGTGCGCCTGACCCAAGCCATGGTATTTTCAGTCACCTCATAGGCATTCGAAAGCTGGACAGTGAACAAGGAAGACTAAAGAACTGATGCTTTTAAATTATGGTGCTGGTGAAGAATATTGAATATACCATGGACTGCCAAAAGAACAAACAAATCTGTCTTGGAAGAAGTACAGCCGGAACGCTCCTTGAAGTGAGGATTGCAAGATTTCGTCTCACATACTTTGGCCATGTTATCAGGAGGGACCATTCCCTGGAAAAGGACATCATGCTTGGTAAAGTAGAGGGTCATCAAAAAAAGGAAGACACTCGAGATGAGATGGATTGACAAAGTGGCTACAACAATGGTCTCAGCATAACAATGATTGTGAGGATGGCCCAGGGCCAGATAGCATTTCATTCTGATGCACATAGGGTCATTGTGAGTCAGAACTGATTTGATGGCACCTAACAACTAACAACAGCAAAGACGTGGAATAACGAGCATTTTTTTCTTGTGTTTATTGGCCATTTTTGTATCTCTTTTGGTCATGTTTCTGTTAAAATCTTTTTGCCCCTTATTTTAATTGGGCTGTTTGTCTCATTACTGTGTCATAAAAGTTCTTTATATATTCTGGATGCAAGTCTTTTGTCATATATTTTCTCTGTTCTATGACTTGTTTTGTCATTTTTTTTTTCCAAATTTTATATGTTCTATTTAGTAACATTGGTTACATTCTTCACATTGTGTCACCATTGTTGCTATCTCTACCCATATTGTTTCACCACTATGGACTTAGACTCACTACCCCCTAAACATCTCATGTATGCTTTAGAGTTACTGTTGACTATTTGATTCCATATAGATAATTCTTTAAAAGTTTGCAATTCTCATGACAAACGTTCTCTACTAGTTTAGCTAAATAGTTGTGTAGTTTCAAGATGACTTCATGGGATAATTTTGGTTCATGGTTTGAGGATTTATCAGAGTGACAGATTTGGGGATTCCTCAAGCCTCAGTAAGTCTGGGTTCTGTAAGAATTTCAAATTCTCTTGCACATTTTTTTTTGCCTTTTCATCAGGATTCCTAGATCGAAACATTCAGTAATGATAGCCAGGCACCATCCAGTTTTTCTGATCTCATAGCTAAGGTGTAAATAGTTCATTGAGGCAGTTAGACCTAAGTCCAGTTTCTTGTCTGATTCCTGGGTTTCCTTCTTCTTCTTCTGCTCTAGGCGAATAGAGACTCATATTATATCTTGGATGGCTGCTCAGAAGTTTTTAAGAGGTAGGGTATAGTTTTGAACAAAGTTTTTTGACACCAAATTCCATATATTCTATAGTACCTGGTTGAAATGGCAGCCAGGACTAATGCCTTCGGTTCCTCAAGCCTGCAGGGAATAGGTGGTCACAACTCTGGTTGCCATCAAACCACACCATCAACAAAATGAAGATGAAGGTACATCTACAAGCCAAGGACCATCAAGAAACACCTGGGCTTCCGGAAGCTGGAAGGATCTTCCCTCAGAGGTGACAGAGAGAGAGCATGGTGCAGCTAACACATTGATTTGGATATTCTTCTAGCTTCCAGAACTGTGAGACAAGAACAATAGTGACAAGAATCTCGTATTTAGACATGCTGATGGAGTGGTTTTCTCTACAATTGTGGAAGTTTCCACCAACTTTCCATTTCCCAACAGAATGGGGCTATCTTACTTCATCACATAGTCCAGAGATTCTTAAACTCATCATGGTGCAAGGTAGGACAGTCTGTTCAAAACTCTGAGCTGTTTCTAAAACAGTAGCCACCTAGATCCCCAGATACCAGAACATCTTACTTCTAGTGGGGATATTCAAAAAAGCAAAACTGAAGCAGACTTGAATTTTTACTATTTAGGTGAACTGGAATGATAACCGGAATGGGAAAAATTATGGGTTGAAGCCCTGGAATGGGAGACTCGCAAGAAGCATAGTGAGCCCTTTCAGGATCCTAATGAGTGAAGTTGAATTATTGGCAGGACTGTGGAGAGTGACACACATTTAGAGGGGTGTGGTCGCTGCCATCTTTGAGCAGGTCACTGCTGTTTTTGACTCTGTTCAGAATCCATCGGGCAAGAGATTTGGTTGCTATGCAGTCTGTACGATGCCCTTGTTTTATGAGAGGAAGTTCAGGTTTCTAGCAGGGCTTTGACTGAGACTTTTTCCCATTCCGGTTATAGTTCTGGTTTACCCAAATTTAAAAAATTTGAGTCTGTTCCAGTTTCACTTCCTCGGCCATGACTGAACCAGGAAGAATCGATTTGAAGCTCTGGTTTGGACTCTTACACTGACTTTTATCTGTTTCTCCTCACAGGTGTATCGATTTTTGTGTTATGAATTTTGAAACTGTATTATTAGGTACATAAACATTTAGGATTATTATGCCCTCTTGATAAGTTTACCCCTTTATCATTGACCTTATTTATCCCTGGTGATATTCTTTGCTGTAAAATTTAATTTGTTTGACATTAATATAACCACTCCAGCTTTCTTTTGACTAGTATTAGCATAGTATATATTTTTCTATTCTTTTACTTCTAACCTGTTTACATCTTTATGTTTAAAATGTGTTTGTTGTAAGCAGCATATACTTGGGTCTTGCTTTTTATCCTTTCTGACAATCTCTGCCTTTTAACTGAAATGTTTAAACCATTTATGTTTAATGTGATTATTCAAATGGTTACATTTAAATCTACCATCTTGCTATTTGTTTTCTATTTGTCACATCTCTTCTATTCCCTTTTTACTCTTTATTTGCCTTTTCTTGGATTAATTGAATTTTTTTTATGAATTTATCTTCTTTATTAGCTTATTAGATATAACCCATTGTTCTGTTATTTTGATGGTTGCCTTAGGGTGTATAATATACTTATTTAACTTATCACAGTCTACCTTCAAGTGATATTTTATCTTCACGTATAGTATAAGAGCCTTACAATAATATACCTCCATTTTCCCTCTTCTGGTCTTTATGCTATTTTTGTTATACATTTTACTTATACATATTTTATAAACACACAATACAGTGTAACTATTTTTGTGTAAACTATTTTTGTTCAATTAATTTTCAAAGGGGTCTCAATAAGAAGATAAAAGTCTTGTGTATTTACCCATGTGGTTGCCATTTCCAGTGCTCTTCATTCCCTTATGTAGATCCAGATTCTGTCTGCCGTTATTTTATTTCTGCCTGAAGGACTTCTTTTCTCATTTCTTGTAATGCAGGTCTGTGATGGTTAAGATTGTATGTCAGCTTGGAGCGAACCCAGACTAAGACAAGGTCTGATGGTAATGAATTCTTTAAATGTTTGCATGTCTGAAAAGGTCTTTATTTCACCTTCACTGTTGGTTTTCTGTCTTTGGGTGGTCCAGCCACAGTTCACGTTGGCCTTCTGAGCCTGTGGGTCTGTTCTTGCGGAAGGCCTTAGACCTTCTGGGTACCTCCTCCACTGATCACTAACTTTCAGGGTTGAAGTCTCTCCTTAGTATGTCTGCAGTAGTTAAGATCACGCTTGGTACATGGGATATGGTCACTTGGTCCTGCAGTGATAACCACATTTTCTTCCATTTGGAATGCCCAAAGAGTATTCAGTTCTGCTGTTGCTTGTCATCTTATGGGGGACTGGCCTAGCCTTCGCTGTGCTGAGTCCAGGCCTGCTCCTCAGCCCCAGGCTGGCTCACTGCTCTCCTGTACTTTGCTGCAGGTCCCGGAGCCCGGGGGGCTTCTCTTTCCTCTTGGTGACTCCCACCAGCCACTCACCACCAAACTTGCTGGTGTAATGGGATGTGGTCTCCCATCTCCTCCTTTCCCTTAAAACAGGCATTATAGGCCTTGCTATCTTACAGGTTTTGTAATCAGTATAGGAAGATGTGAGAGTAAAAATGAGAAGCGTGGGGAAATGTCTGAACTTTAACAGTACTCCCTCCCAACTCTTAGACTTCATAGTTCCTCACTGAGTCATCAAGAGGGCCACTGGATGACTCTTAGGGCCTTCTCCTTCTGCCCTTATTGGTTACTTAATCCCCCCTCACCCCGTCTGCTGTGGGGTCTCTCTTCCAAGTCTTTCTAGGCCTGAAGAATCAGTCAGAAAAGGAGAGAAGGGTTTTGTTGCAAGTGAACAGTTTTGACCTCTAACAGCGGTCAGACTGGAGGACACGCTCCCTGTTCCTGTTGGATTTCGAGCCACTTTGGAATGACCATTTTTGGCTGTTTCTTGATTTTCTCTCTCCTCCCTCTAGACAGAGGTTGTTGACTGTCTTTAGCTGTATGGTTGTGTTATCTGCTCTTAGTGCAGTGCCTGCTAGTGTTGTCCAAATAACTGTATGGATCATTTCTTGTTTCCATAGTCAGATTATTGCCAGAGGACTACTCGATATCTTCCGGGACTTCAGTAGCAATGAAGAAGACTTCTTAACAGTAATGGAGATTGTGGTCAGATTATCAGAAGATGCAGGTTTGTATAACGATTATATAATTTAATTTTTCACTTGCACATTTCTAAGAAGTTTTACAAAACCAATGGTAGCTAATTTTTAAAAAACTTTTATAATCCATAAGTTTTTAAGCACTGTCTAACAATGAATGGACTTATCATGAAGAATGGGCCTCTTACTTGAATATGACTCAAATTACCCGTAATTTTAGAAAATTAGAATGACTAATGGTCATGAGTCCTCTTTGCCCTGCAGTCAGGCCTTTCGTGTTTCGTAAGTTTTGTGAGACCGTTGGTTACTGTTGTTGTTGGGTGCCGTCGAGTTGGTCTCGGCTTACGGTGACCCTAGGTACAACCAATGGTCCCGCGCCATCCTCACAGTCATTCTTATGCTTGCGCCCACTGTTGCAGCCACTGTGTCAATCCATCTCGTTGAGGGTCTTCCTGTTTTTCACTGACCCTCTGCCTTACCAAGCATGGTGTCCTTAGCTGGTTGTTAAGAAATAACAAATCAAAAATACCAACTCAAAAGAAGCCCTTTGGATTAGAACAATCCCAGTCATTAACTTTCCTCACCTCTGATCTTCGTCAGCTAATCTTGATTTTTCTTTCTCTTTCTACTTCTCCATGATTGCTATTCGGGAGGAAAAGCACATTGCCGTGTAGTAGACACTGGGACCTTGCCTCCCTCCCCCCAGTACACACCCACACTGAAGATGAGTAAGATGAGTGAGTGGTGGAGCTGCTGGTACTGACAGCTGCTCTGACGTCCCTCTTCCCTGCATCTGTAATGAATGATGGAACAGCTTCAGGAAGTTTCAGGAATCTTAGGCCTGCTTTAGAATTTGATCATTTTAGCTGAAAATAGAAAAATAAGTCTTTCTTCTCTGTATCGCCCATATTAGTTTAAAATATTCATATGAATATGACACAAGGCTTTTAAAAAGGCCCACGTGGATGTTTGGAGTCTTCAAGTGGATTCTCTTTGTAAATGAGTCACCATTTTACGGTGCTGCAGCAATTATATATTTGTGTTAAATTTAATGTGGTATATTGGAGCTAGAGCTGCTCTTTTGTTTAATGCTTTGCCTTGGAAATAATTGGGATGCGTGGATTGTGGGGGAGTGCATTTATGAAAGAATTATTTATAATGTATACATTCTGGCTGGAATTTAAATAAGCACAGCCCATAGGTCTGGCATATAGGCCATTAGTTGTAATGGCTTTTGGAGGCTGGCCCAGAGTGCAGACTTCTCCCTCCTCAGTTTATATATGGCTTATTATAATGGAGTTGTCATTCTCTCTTCTTTTTATGTTTTTATACTGCCGTATAGCTTATTAGCTTTTTAAGCCTGTCTGTAGCATAAATACTCTGAATGAGAAATGATTTTTAAACTGCATTTGTCTAATTCTCTTGATGAAGTATTTTAGTAAGAAAAGCTAGAAACTATCAGCATACACTCTATAAGATGCTTGGCTCACTTGTGATGTGTTTCTTTTTTATTTTTCACTGCTGCAGAGCCTACAGTGCGGACCGAGCTGATGGAACAGATTCCTCCCATTGCCATGTTTTTACAAGAAAACAGATCAAATTTTCCAGTGGTGCTCTCCGAATACCTCATACCTATCGTAGTGAGGTACCTCACAGACCCAAACAATCAGGTTTGAAAACTTGTGGCCTTCAGATCTCTTTGGCAAATCCTCTCTAGTCTTATTTCAGCTTACATTCCTAATTCAGAAAACAGCTTCTTTGAGTTAAGTGATTCAAGAACAAAAGGTCTGTGCCCACTTCTTTTCATCGTGTAGGATCTGTGCCCACTTCCTCTCACACGTAGGGAGATAGCGCTCATTCTGATATTTCATTTTTTAAAACTTTTATTATGGAAATTTTCAGGCTCACAAAGAAGTAGGGAGAATATTGACACAAATGCCCGTGTGCCCGTCACCCAGCTTCAACCATTGTTCCTGTTTGGCTCCTTTCATTTATGTTACCCAGATAAACTCAGGCCAGACGGAAGCAATTTCCAGACAGCATGTCATTTCTATTATAAAAACTTCAGTCTCGCTCTCTAAGAAATAAAGACTCTTTCTAAAAACGTAACGACAATACCATTATCACGCCTGTTAAAATTATCAGTAGCTCCTGAGTATCATCTAATACCTAGTCACTGTTCAGATTTTCTTACTTTTCTCAAAAACGTGTCTTTTGCGGATAGGTTGTTCCAGTCAGAATCCAAACAGAGATGACACATTGCGTTTGGTTGATACAGCTCTTAAATCTCTTTTCGTTTAGAACAGTTCTTCTTCCCCTTCCTACCCCTTGCTATTTATTTGTTGAAGAAGTGAGCTCATTCATCCTATAGAATTTCTCCCATTTTGAATCTGGCTGATTGCATCCCCATGGTGTTGTTTAAGATGTTGCTCTATCCTCAGTATTTCCTATACCAAAACTTACTGCCATCAAGTCGATTCTGACTCAGTGATCCCATGTGACAGAGTAGGACTGCGCCACAGGGTTTCCTAGACTGTAATTTTTATGGAAGCTGTCCGCCACATCTTTCTCCCACCGAGCGGCTGGTGGGTTCAGATTGCCAACCTTTCAGTTAGTAGCCGAGCAGTTAACCACTGTGCCACCAGGGCTCCTGTTTCCTGCACACTGGTAGTTAAATCTAGAGGCTTAATCAGATTCAGATTATCTGTCATAGCAAGAATACGCAGGAGGTGGCGTGGCCCTGGTGGCAACGTGGTTACTCGGTCAGCTGCTAACCAAAGTGTCGGCAGTTTGAATTCACCAGACGCTCCTTGGAAACCCTGTGGGGCAGTTCTCCTTTGCCCTGTAGGGTCGCTAGAAGTCGGAATCCACTCGACGGCAGTGGGTTTTTGGTTTGGGTAGGAGGTGGCGCTGTGTCTTACTGTTGCATCAAATCAGGAAGCACCAAAGCTCAGGGTGGCTGTCTTTTCCTGGGGTTGAGTTTGGTCACTAAATTCGGGTGCTGTCTGCCTGACCCTTTTGTTATAAAGTCTTGTCAGCCGTTTACCTAATGATATGAGCAGCCATTGATGATCCAGGCCTCGATCCAGAGTTTCATTAGAGGCTGGCAAATTGTCATAATTGAACTCCATCATTCCTTCCAAAGTTAATAGCTGAAATTCTTCTATAAAGAACTCCCCCACCTCCATCCACTGTTTGGTAACCCCAAAATCCTGTCTGCATAAGAAAAATAGGATAAATACTTAATTTTTTTCCTTTATTTACCAGCTTCTAGAATCATTAATTGGAACCCTAATGATCTATAAATGTTACCAATTAAGTTTTAAAAACTTGTTTGTTTTGAGTATTATTATCAATTCCTGAATTTTAACCTACTTGCTATGTTCAGCCCATGGTAGTCATTATTCTTTTTGGTGATCAGATTGTCCCAGCTTTGGCCAGTGGGAGCCCTTCCAAAGTGGGCTCCTGAGTCTTTTCAGCATGACCTGGTAGACTTTGATAGCTCACGTCTACCTGGAATCAGCCATTTCTCCAAGGCGCCTGGCTTCTTGAGGGAAATGACTGTAAGAGACCAGAGCGGAGATGCTGAGGTGCTCGCTGTGATGGGGTTCTGTGCTTTAGTGATGGAGCAGTTTCTTTGTTTGACAAGTAGAAATTCCTCTTGAGTTTGTATTGATATTTCCAATTCAGATTTGAGATTATAGGGCTTTTACTTAACTTCCGTCATTTTACATTTGTATCCTTTTCTTATGACACAAAATTTGCTTCTTAATTACATTAATGTGTGTGTGTGTATATATATCCATCCATCTATCCACCTACCCTCCCACCCACTCATCCAACCATCTACCCACCCACCCAAGCATCCACCCACCACCCACCCATCCATCCATCCACCCATCCATTCATCTATCCTTTTCAAAATAAAAATACCAGTATTATTATTACATTATTGCTAACAACGTGATGGGATTAGTGCTGACATTTTAACTGCATTATTACTAGCACTGTGACAAGATTAGCCTTTTAGGATTTTCTGCAGTTCTTTTTGTCTTTAGGCAGTACCCCACCGGAGAGGCATGGTCACCTTCATGTTGCTGTGTTTGAAAGTTGCTGTCATGGACCCTTTTCTTTGTGGTTAAGCTTCCAGCCTGACACACAGGTTCATTTGTTTCCACGTATTTTTTATTTTCGGGAAATGCTTTGGTTTTGACACTTTGATTTATAATTATGTGAAATGTTTCCATGATTCCAAAGTCAAAAGTACGAATACTATGTTTAGGGAAGTCTGACTTTCATCCCTGCCTACCCCCACCAGCCTGTCCTCACCTCCCCCATAGGTAACCATTTTTATTAGGGTTTGGTTTATTTTTATCTTTAAAAAAAAAAGGACACAAACAACTCTAAGAAAATATGTATATGCCCTTGCATTCTCTCCGTGTGGCCTTGCCCCTTGCTCGTTAGGAGATGGTGCCCTTCACCTTTGTACCGTGCGTTGCTTTTCTCGCTGCCTGGTGTGGCCTGGAGACCAGTCAGGGTGGTGTGTGGGCATCTTCCTCATTCTTCTCCACAGCCTGGAGCCCTGCTGGGGCACATAGCGGTTTACTGATGGACCTTGGGCTATTTCTAGTCTTGTGCCACTTTAAAAGCACTGCAGCGACTCACCTTGTCACCTCGCAGCCTTTCTGTGCCAGGTGTGGGCAGCCTGGCCCTTTGATGACAAAGCCCACCTCACATACCAGTCAGTGTATTTGGGGGATGGATTTCCACAAAGGGCAAAGGCGTCTGTAAACTTCATGATCTGCCGTGTTTTCATTATTGTTACTCTCAAGAAATTCTAAAATGTTGGCTTGTCATTCTCCCTTTTGCCAAATGTTCCTAGAAGAGCAAGCACTGACTTTTAACTTGTTAAACGGTGACGGGGTTAAAGGGGTTTCAAATAAGGAAGAGATTGCCCTCGTCCCGCTCTGTGGACATCAGCGCTTTGATGATTTTTGCGTCTTCCTCTCCGAAGTGCACATTTTCCCTCGTGGGCTCATCATGCTGCAGCGCAGCTAGCTTCTCTTGTCGTCTGTTTGTCCAGACAGTCTGTGAGTGCCCGGCCTACGCCAAGCTCGGCACTCGGCACGGGGGATAGAGAGGTGAGAGGACAGGTGTCCCCTCAGATAGCGCGTCGGCTGTGCCAACACTCGCATTTCCTCTGGTCCGTGATCCAGCAGAGGCAGCGACTTTCCTTCTCCTTTGGAGAAGTCCTCGAAAACAAGATTACCCTGGGTCTGGGGACCTGACACCTCCTTGCCCTTTGTCATCTGTTATTGCCGTATATTCTATTCCTGAGGTGGGGTGGAGGCGGGGACTGCGGTCTGGACCCCAGCCTGCGCTTGCAGAGGAGTTATATCCACGGTCAGGAGTAGGCTCCCCACTGTCCACTGAGCTGCTTCTGCACCTCAGCTGTGACCCCCGCCACGGCCGTTCCCGCCCCCACCCCCCCTCGCCTGCTGTGTCTCTGGAACGGCCTTACAGGCCTTCCCCGAGACCCCAAAGGTGGCTTCCCCGACCCCATCGTCCTCCTGCCTTTAACTTCCTGTTCCTCCTCAGCTGCCCCCGCCCCCCGCCTTTCCCAGCCGTCCCTCTACTGGCCTCCATTTTCTGTCCATCTGTTAGTGCTTCTACCCCAGGGCCCCGAAGCTCCTCCACCCCCGCCCGCTGAGCCCCGTGGGGGAGGTGCACGCTGCATTGATTGGTGCCATTGCAGATTTACAGATTCCCTTTTCCTTGTCCCTCATCAGCTGCTTTTCACGTCACCCTTGGCACCTCTCTGAGACCTTTACCACTGTTGTCAAGCCCCCACCCCCGCCTCGCTCCAAGCAGGTGACCTTGCCTTTTACTTCGCGGAGAAAATAGGGGCCTTGAATCTTCATCCCCACCTCAGTGAGCGGAACCACCGTCTGCTCCGTGCAGTTGCCCGGAGCCGCAAGCTGGGAGCCATCGAAATCCTTCCCTCTCTCACCTCCGTCCACTGAGACCCAGCCGTGCCTTCCGGATCTCTGTGATGAATTCCAGTCTCCCGAGTGCGCCCCTCCTCTCCATTCCTGTTGTCTTGAAACACAGAAATGCAATGGGGTCACACCTTCCTCTGACTTCCAGACCCCTAAATGCCCTCAGGTCCAGCCCTGCTCCTCTGTGAGGCTGCCTGCCCCTACCCCACCCTGGACCTTTCCCTGTGGCTCGTTCCTGCCTTCCTGCTCCCCTCAAAGGCCCCTTCCTCCCTCAGTTTGGTGCTGACTCATCCAGGTACCCACAGTGTGGCCCCCAGGAGTGCCCTGTAGGTCCCCGAGGAGTGGGACACTCAATTCAGCAAAAGTACAGACTGTTGTGCATTGTGTCTCAGGCCAGCCCGCTCTTCTCAGGCCAGCCCGCTCTTCTCTGTCCAGCTCCAGGCACTTTTCGTGGTCAGTGGACACCCCTCAGCTCACATGCCGTTCACATATTACCGCCATGACTTCCACCACTTCTAGCAGCTTCCACGTGCTGACTGTGAGGGCCATGCTCCAAGGTAGCTGGATTGGTACACCCACTCTTCCTAAGCCCGTTATGACGTGTGGGAACGCTGATGCGTTCATTCTTGTTTTAGAGATGAGGAAACTGTGGGGCAGGGCCGTGTGGCCAA